AGTGTAGTGTTGTGAGGTGTAGTGCTGTCATGTATAGTGTAGTGCTGTCTTCTTTAGTGTAGTGTAGTGCTGTCTTGTGTAGTGCAGTGTTGTGTAGTGTTTTGTAGTGTAGTGTAGGGTAGTGTAGTGTCGTGTAGTGGTGTGTTGTATAGTGTAGAGTAGTGTAGTGCTATCTTGTGTAGTGTATTGTAGTGCAGTGAAGTGCCGTGTTGTGTTGTGTAGTGTTGTGTTGTATAGTGCAGTGTAATGAAGTGTGGCATAGAGTAGTGTTGTGTAATGTACACTACACTACAGAACACAACACTTCACAAGACAGCACAACGCTTCACTGCACAACACTATACTGCACAAAACTGCACTATGCAACACTACACAGCACTACACTTCACAACACTACACACTACACTGCACAAGACAGCACTACACTACACTACAATACAGTACACAGCACTGCAGTACTCAACACAACAGTACAATACACTACACTGCACTTCACAAGACATCATTACACTACACAACACTATACTACAATACACTACCCTGCACTATGCAACACTAGACTACACTATACAACAGTAAACTACACTACACTACATTAAACTACACAAGTGAACACTACACTACACTACACAACACTTAACTACACAATGATACACTGCACTACACTACACTTCACTACACTACACTATACTACACAACTCTACACTGCAGAACTCTACACTACATTACAGAACACTACCCTACACTATGAGGATAGACTAAGGGCCCTGAAACTACACTCTCTAGAAAGACGTAGAATTAGGGGGGATATGATTGAGGTGTATAAATGGAAGACAGGAATAAATAAAGGGGATGTAAATAGTGTGCTGAAAATATCTAGCCTAGACAGGACTCGCAGCAATGGTTTTTAAGTTGGAAAAATTCAGATTCAGGAAGGATATAGGAAAGTACTGGTTTGGTAATAGAGTTGTGGATGAGTGGAACAAACTCCCAAGTACAGTTATAGAGGCCAGAACGTTGTATAGCTTTAAAAATAGGTTGGATAAATACATGAGTAGATGTGGGTGGGTGTGAGTTAGACCTGATAGCTTGTGCTACCAGGTCGGTTGCCGTGTTCCTCCCTTAAGTCAATGTGACCTGACCTGACTAGGTTGGGTGCATTGGCTTAAGCCGGTAGGAGACTTGGACCTGCCTCGCATGGGCCAGTAGGCCTTCTGCAGTGTTCCTTCGTTCTTATGTTCTTATGTTCTTATACTACACAACCCTACACTGCAGAACTCTACACTACACTATGATTCACTGCACAACACTACACTACACTACTATACACTACATAACAGTATACTAAACTACACTACTCTTCACAATACTACACTACACATCACTACACTATACTTCACAACACTACACTACACTACACAACACTATACTTCACAACACTACAATACACTACACTATACAACACTACACTACACAATGCAATTATACATTACACTACACTTCACTACACAAGACAGCACTTCACTACACTACTCAATATTCCCTACACTACACTACACAAGACAGCACTACACTACACTACAGAACACTGCACAACAAAATTATACACTACACTACACAAGATGGCACTGCATTACACTACTCAATATTCCCTACACTACACTACATAAGACAGGACTACACTACACTAACAACCCTACACAACACTGCACTACACTCCACAACACTTCACTACTCTACACTACACAGCACTTCACTACTCTACACTACACAAGACAGCATTACACTACTTTACACTTCACTACACTACACTATGCAACACTACACAACACTGCACTACACAAGACAGCACTTCACTACACTACTCTTCAGAGCACTTCACTAAACTACACAACTCTTCAGAGCACTTCACTAAACTACACAACTCTTCAGAGCACTTCACTAAACTACCCTTCATTACACAACTCCCCAGTACACTACACAAGACAAGACTGCACTTATCTACACTACACTTCACTACACAATGCTTCACTGCACTACACTTCAGTACACAGCACTACACTTCACAAGACAACACTGCACTACACTTCACTATATGACACTTCACTACCCTACACTACACAGCACTAAACTACACTACACAACACATCTACACTACAGTACACTACTCTACATTACACTACACAATGCTGCACTACACTACACTACACTTCTATTCACAAGGCAGCACTACAAAACACAACACTACACTACACTACAGAACACAACACTGCACTACACTGTACAACACTGAACTACACTACACTACAGGACAATACACAACATTACACTACAACAACACAGCACTTCAACTACACAACACTTCTTTATGCTCCACTACACTACAACTGCACAACACTACAATACACTACACAACATTACACTGCACATCTCAACACTACACTTTTCAACACAGCACTGCACTACACAACACAGCATTGCGCTACACAACACTTCACTACACTACACTGAACAACACTACACTACACTACATAACACTACACTACTCAACACGCACAACGCAAACGCCACAAAAAAACACTAACTATACTACTCTACACAACACTACACAACACTCCCCAACACTACATTGCACTACACTGTGCAACACAACACAGCACTACATTACACTACATTTACACTACACTACACAACACTGCACTACAAAAGACAGAAACATTACACTGTGCAAGACAGCACTACACTACACTACACTATTCTACACTACACAACACAGCACTACATTACATTACACTACACTTCACAATATTACAGTACACAAGACAACACTACATTTTGCAAGACAGCACTACACTACACAAGACAGCACTACACTATACTACCTCTACATAACACTACACAACACTACATTACTGAACATTGCACTACACTGTGCAACACAACACAGCACTACATTACACTACACTACACTGTACTACACAATACTGCACTACAAAAGACAACACTACACTGTGCAAGACAGCACTACACAACACAACACTACATTACACTACACTACACTTCACAACATTACAGTACACAAGACAACACTACCCTTTGCAAGACAGCACTACACAAGACAGCACCACACTTCACAAGACAGCACTACAGTACACTACACTACAATGCACTACACAAGACAGCACTACACTATGCAACACTACACTACACTACACTTCACAACATTACAGTACACAAGACAACACTACACTACACAAGACAGGACTACACTTCACAAGACATCACTACACTATGCAACACTACACTACACTTCACAACATTACAGTACACAAGACAACACTACACTGCACAGCACAGCACTACAGTTCACAAGACAGTGCTACACTATGCAACACGTCACTTCGTAATTGTCACTATGCAACAGTCATCACTTCCTAACAATCATTACTCAGTCATCAGTTGAATTTCAGTTAATGCCCTGGATGAAATATGTGAAAATTTGTCTGGACTGCCTCCAAGTGAGTCGCCTACCTTGGCAAACTCTGTTGACACCGAGTTCTAAGGTCGGTACCTCAGCCTCACAAGTGGCTTATAGGACAGATTTTCACAAATGATTGATGTTACAAAAAACTCGCCTGCATGACCGTATAAAGGACTAACTTACTTGGTGTTGCAGCATATATCCTGATCTTCAACTTCCCTAAGCTTAGCCTTAGCCCCTTTGGACTTCCCCTCAGAAACCACGTGCAACCGGGAGCCTTAATTCCTGCAATATTCATTCGTTATTAGTGACCTGCCTGCACCTCAGAAATTCCTATTTCCAAGTGGGTGTGTATCCCCTAGTACAACTATGCAGGCACGGACACTAGCTTCTAGACTGACAAAAGACGCTGGTACGTACTGGACATGCACTGCCAGCTACACAGAGGCCTACAGATCAACTCACTCACAATTTTCCCCAGACACTGGCCAGAAATCCTAAGAGAAAGTGGAGGTTTTGTCTTACTGTATGGGCCTGATGGAGGAGGTCATCTACGGCACATCGAGGTGCCTCTACCAGATTTCCCCAAGTCTCATGTGTGAAGACACGTGGGGGGCGCCGTCTGCTGATCACGGCATGTCTGTCCAGGTGGTGTATGGTCATAGAAGGACGCTATTGTGTCTTTGAGACCCGCATCTCGATGTTCAAACTAGGGCTGCCAGTTCTCCCTAGCTAACTTAACCTAGTGTTTGCCTACATTATCGGCCTATTACTACCTATATTAAGGTCTTAGGTCTACATTATTATTATCTACAGTTGCCTTAATAATCCTAATATTAATGTACTAACCATAAACTACCTACTTCTTCGCTGAAGGGTAAATCTATAAATTAAATAGTACCTTCCATCCACATTCGACAATCTGGGAGAGAACGCTTTTGTTTGGGTGGGTTTAAGGGCCACCCAGCTCAGCCGTTCCATAACGGCCATGCTGTGAACCCTTGTACGCCGTATCTGTCCTGTGGAACTTTAGGGACCAAATAAATTTCCACAGAATATATTAGAATAAGTATTAATTCCATTTCCTTTCCAATCATACTCCCACGGCCGAGGCAGTAAAGGATCCGACTCTGCAAGATAAAGAATGCCTATTCGAGCCCCTCGTCCACCTATTTGATTCTTTCACCTGAGTTCATTGTGAAGAGTATATGTATGAAAGATAGAGAGAGAGTAAGTGTATAGGTAAAAACCTTCCTTAATGATCCACGTGTAGAGAGAGTTATACTTTGGATAGTTTATGGGATTTAAATTGTTTTAATCAAAACCAAGCACTAAACCCACCAGGGTCATACAGCGTTGCTCTAGGGTTTAATACTAAACATCGACTATGCTAAGCTATTAAGGCTGCACGTAACCTGTACATGCACTAAGAAACATTCATCTCAAGGTTTATATAACTGTGTCTTAGTACCTTAGCTAACTAGCTACTTATATAATATTGCAAAGGTAAGAGAAAAACCTGGAAGTCTGTGAGGTCGAAGTAGAGAGCAAGCCAGCAGATGATGACCAGCATGATGCTGGGCAGGAAAGTGTTGCTGATGTAATATCCATACTGGTTCCTGAACACAAACTCAACCTGAAAATTAACTTAAGGTAATCTCACCCATCATTGTTGTGGAAATGTTCTTATTGCAATATATAAGTGTTAAGTAATAATTAACAAAACTTCATATCTTACCTATTTTATCATACTTGAATGTATGTTGCAATAAGATCACGGTAAAGAGGTGATATCAATATATGCAAAATAACTACAGTGAAAAAAAAATGGTGAAATTCCAAGTGCTTTCTTGACATTGTGAGAAATCATAAAAACGCTTGGAATTTCCCTACTTTTTCACTGTACTTATTTTACATGAAAATATATAACTGAAATATTTGTCTAAAGAAGCATTTGTTATCAACGTTTCAGTGAAATCTGTCGCCATCATCAGGATCTGTAAAAACATTCCAACCCTTATATATACTTCAAAAGCTAAGAGTCAAAACATGTAAAATAAGAAAAAAAAAGAAGCAAAATCAAGCCAGAGGAGAGCCAGGTACTATACTAAGGAGGGTTGAGCTGGAACTGACCCAGGTAGACAGTAATCTGACCCAGGTAGACAGTAGTCTGACCAGACACAGTGTCTGACCAGGTATGCAGTAGTCTGACCCAGGTACACAGTAGTCTGATCCAGGTACACAATAGTCTGACCCAGGTACACAGTAGTCTGACCCAGGTATGCAGTAGTCTGACCCAGGTACACAGTAGTCTGATCCAGGTACACAATAGTCTGACCCAGGTACACAGTAGTCTGACCCAGGTACACAGTAGTCTGACCCAGGTCAGCAATAAGAGAAAACTCAAGCATGAGGAATGTAACTATTTTAATGTGAATTAAGGAAACTGTCGCAATATAACCGTAAAACTCAGGCTAAAACCCCAGTGCAAAAACTCTAAAACTCTTAAATCTAATTTATCCCTTGCTTTACCTAAAACTACAATCATTAGTACTTTGTAAATAATCTTTAGTTTCAGAAAAATGTAGCTTTACAGCTGAAAAAGAGGGTTAAGCAAATTTAGGAAGAGTCCTGTATTATACACTTCTGTAGTCACATATTCAGAGCAAGAAACACAAACTTTCATTATTTACTTTTCCTACAGTAAAAACAATATTCCTATATTTTTTTAAATTAATATAATCCCTAAACAAATCTATATGAGTTCAGTAGGTTTAAAATCTTTTGCATAATCATCAAGCTAACTCTTTTCTTAATAAACCAAAAAAAAAAAAAATAGCTAAGTTTGGTCTCAAGGTGAACCAACTGCGACACCCTAAATTTGTGTTTAGGATCTTTAATTGAGAAAAATGAGCCATTGACAGCCTATTGAAGTAATTACTTAAAATATTGTTTAAATGATTAACTATATTGATAACTGTGAACAAACTGTTAATGAGATGTTTGTAAATAAAGACTGTTGTGGAAAATTAAATTTACCTGGATGTAACTCATAAGATACATATCAGTAAATGGTAACAAAGATAATTATTCTTTATCAAGGTTACAGAGACAAGTAGGAATTTTAGGACACCTACGTCACAAAAAATGTCCCCCTTCGATACCTACTACTGTCATATCCACAACTCACTCTGGACCTATACTAATTTCACATGAAATATACATCACCAGGAATTCTGGTAAAACATTAATATAAATATGTGGACTGTATATTAAATTTAAAATGTGAATGCATATACATTTATGTAACAGAATGATAATTTATAATCATAACATTCACCAATTTGTCTGGAGATTACTTGGTGTATCATACACAACCCCCTGCCTAAATATGAAGAAAATACTGGCCAGAATTCCAACATAAATAGACATCGACTTAGCTGGGGTTCCAAAGATGTCCTGTACATCTGTTTAATGCTCACGTTATGCAGGACTGCAAATCCAACAATTTTGGCTCCTATTTGAGAGGTTTTAAGCCCAATATAACCCCTAGAGCAATGGAAATTTATGCACATTTAATTAACGTGCCTATACCACATTCAAAAACAATGGCGTCTCCCCCATGCTCAACAGCGCAGGTGCAGAGCTTCCCTGTTGGTTCTCTTCTTTAAAATACACGTTAGGGCAATAGTAATGTATTAATCAGGTATATTTACATTATAAAAAATATACAGCATAATTTTGAGAAATTATTTTCCACACTGGGGCCGGACGGAGGTCGTTGCTAAACGACTCAAATTACTCCTTCCTTTAGGAGACGACTCCAGCCGGTTCTGGCTTGAGTGGCTGTTCTCCTAGTATGTCTTACTACAATTTCATCTTCCTGCATCACTTGGTCAGCGTTACCTTCAATATCACTCGTGTCACTTTCCCTTAGATTTTCATTTACATTTGATTGAATACCATTTAATTCCAAGGGAATCAATTTATTAATTGTGCGTAAACTTTTCTGGCCACGACACAACACTTTGACATTCTGGACAACACCTTGTGCATCTGGGTACAATGTCAATACTTTGCCCAGAGGCCACAATGTTCGATGTTGTTCAGTATCAATTAACACAATGTCACCTGGTTGAATGTTCTGTCGATTTACTGCCTCTGTCGCACCATAAAAGTGTTCACGTAGTGTAAGAAGAAATTCCTTATGCCTCACATTAGACCAATGATCAATTACTTTATTTAACATTTTAAATTTATCACACAACACTGCTGCATCATTGTAATCATCATCACTTTCTTCAGGATTATCTCTATAGACAGGGGCAGCTTCCAATTTCCTTCCACATATTAGGTGGGAAGGTGTTAATACATCTGTATCAGGTGTATCACTCATGTACGAGAGAGGCCTATTATTTATCCGATTCTCCGCCTCCACCAACACCGCACGAAATTCCTCCAAATCAATTCTGTTCCGGTGTAGAACTTTACAGAGACACCTCTTCACTGTGCCTATCAGTCTTTCATACAGCCCCCCCTGCCAAGGGGCTCTAGGAGTAATAAATTTCCAGGTACACCCTCGTTGAGTTAACAGAGATTGAACATCGTTACTCTTATTGAATTCTATCAAGTGTTGAGCACCTGCTACAAAATTTGTGGCATTATCCGAAATCATCAATCTCAGACAGGATCCTCTAGCTGCAAATTTTCGAAACAGCTGTATAAACTGTTCTGCAGACAAGTCCTGAGCCACTTCTAAATGAACTGCCCTAGTAGTAGTACAAGTGAACAAGCATACATACACTTTCAGTGGAACACCATCTGAAGTACCTGTTAAAATGATTGGACCACTATACAGTGGTCCCTTGCTTTTCGTAGTTCTCGGCAATCGTAAATTTCGCCAATCATAGGGGTATTTTTGTATAAACATGGACTCGCTTTTCATAGGTTGACTCGCGAATAGTAGTTCGTCCAGGATGCTTACGCACGGTGTGAGCCAGGGAGGCCTCCCTACCCAGCCAGTCTGGCATTGCTTACCAGTGAGTGAAGGTCCCCTCAAGTGCTCCTACGAAATATTTCATAATATTCCACTCATTTTAGTGCTTGAAAGTACTAATTAAGCTACCATGGCTCCAAAGAAAGCTCCTAGTGCCAAGCCTGTGGTAAAGAAGGTGAGAAATATGTACAGTGACAAAGTCTTGTACCATTTTAGGGAAGTGTTAAAGAGACACCAGAAACAGAGCTCTCTCCACAGTTACTTTGTGAGACAAGACTAGAGTGACTCTCAAGGTGGTCCTAGTGGCATTAAGAAACAGAGAAGAGAAGCAACCCCAGAGAAGCAATTGGTACCTGAGGTGTTGCTGGAAGGGGATTCCCCTTCCAAACTGTAAACAATCCAATCTCTGTCCTCCTCCAGTCTCCCATACACTAAGAAGAATCTCCAATAAAGGTAAGTGTTATGCTGTTAATGTTTCATTCATCATTTCCCATTGTATTGTTTATGTACTACATGTATATTTCATGTAAAAATTTTTTTTGTTTTAATACTTTTGAGTGTCAGAAACGGATTAATTGTATTTACATTATTTCTTATGGGGAAAATTGATTCGCAAATCGTAAATTTCGTTTATAGTAGCTCCTCCAGGAACGGATTAATTACGAAAAACGAGGGACCACTGTAGTCTACACCTGTTACATCAAATGGTTTCAGCAATTGTACACCCTCCTTTGGCAATGGTGGAGGACCTGGGTACATATAGGATCTGGCATCCACACGGCGACATATTACACAAAATTTAATCACCCTCTTTATACTTTGCAGTCCTTGTGGAATCCAGAAAGTTTCCCTATTACAATTTAAGTTAACTTGAACCCCAACATGCATTACATTTTTATGGGCATTTAAAACAATTAAATTTGTTAGATGATGAGTTTGGGCAGTAAGATATGGTGTTTAGCATAATCACCCAATTCAGCATTTTGTAACCTACCTCTGCACCTAATTACATTGTTCTCTAAATACAGCTGCAATTTCTCTATTATGGAACCTTTCACAATTTTTCTTTCCATCATCAATTTAATCTCATTTCCATAGATTTCTTCTTGTACCCTCTTTATTCAATATTTAAGAGGATGTGAAAACTTTAAACACCAACTTAATTACATTGATTTGTTTGGGTAAAGAAGGATACCTATTTATATCAATGGCTAAGGAAGGACAAACTATTGGACCGGCAGTCGCAGTGATTTCAACAGGAGCAATATACACCTTTTGTACAGGCCAATTAGCTTTATTTACCAACCAGCTCGGTCCTTTAAACCATGATACAGCATTTACGAATTTAGCATAAGGTAAACCTCGAGACAAGAAATCAGCTGGATTCTCCTCACCAGGTATATGATTAAATGTTAACATATGCTGACCCAAACTATTATACTTCTCTTGCATCTGATTGATTTCAGTGACTCTGTTTTGTACGTACACAATTTTACTGTTTCTATTACGAATCCATTGTAAAGATACCTCATTATCAGACCAAATTACAGTGTCGCTAATATTTGTCTCCTGCAACTTATTTCTTATATAATTAGCTAATTTGACACCTGCATAAATGGCTGTTAATTCCAACTGAGGTA